TCAAAGACTTTGAGGTGAAGGACAAGGTCACAACCCAGGTGGCCAAAGTCCAGTGATCAAAGAATCCAGCCGCACTCCACTCATAAGATGGCTGCACGCTCGGTTCCATGACGGCTGCAATGCCCACGGAAGCAATCACACGAGAAAGAGACATCAAGGAAAGCTTGGCCGACATGGACATGTTGCTGAAGCCCTTCAATTTGGCATCTGAGAGCACGGCAGCATAGCAAGAAACGCCGACTTTGAAAAGAACCATGGCCTCGGCTGATTTCTTTTGCGGCTACTTCTTCCAAACCTGCACTTGTGCAGCCTGTGATAAGAACCACAGCCCGACTCAGCTAAGTTTTGGACGACACCCATCAAAGGAATGCCAGACTCGCCATCGGAGCTGCCGGAGTCAACCATGACAAAGGCGCTGATGGCCAAGGTGGCTGCAATCAGCACATTCCACTGGAGGTCGCCTCAGAGCTCATTCGCAGCACTGCAGCACACTTCATACGAACCACCACGGGCCCACAATGGGTCTTTCTTGAGACGAACCAGAGTGTGTGGCCCGCTTTTTGCAATGCATACTTCAGCTGTCTCTCGGATCCGGGCACAACAAAATCAGCCAAGCCACTCTGGGTAGTGCCCTTCAGCTGCTTCATCATCACTGCGGTGATCAAGAGCTTGGACTGAAGCAAGAGCTGATAGAGACCACCGGTCATGGCACCCATGGAAAGCATTTCCAAGAAGTCGCCAAAGGCATACCAAAGACCTCACTCGGCTGGCACCAACCAAGGAGGAGGGGTAGGTAGGTAGGTGTTCTTTGTTCGGGAAAAATTGAAACAGTAAAACAGCATCAAAAGCCAGCAAAGAGAATCAAACGAGTAGAATTGAGCCTCGAGACCAATGACGATGAAAATTGAAGCACCTTTGGGAATTTGCCAGCATGCTTTCACGCCCTTCATTCCCTCCTCCTGCCAAGCCAAGAAGTTCACGAAGAGCATAGATAAGAGCTGGCTCATGATTGCAGGAGAATTCTTGGAATAGAGCATCTTTCCATCCTCCTTAAAACACACGGGGTGATGCTTCCCGAAGGCACAGTGCTTCGGCTTTAGAGCAGCTTCGCAAACATCCTCAAAACACTACGTGTAAAGAAAATCCATCAGTAACGATTCTGCAGCCAAAACCGACTGCGCAAAACGACGGGCAAAGTTACCTTGGAGTAGTCGATCACCATGGGATGCAACGCACGGGAGAGCACGAAGATAATGAAAATGCCCATGGTTCCCTTGGCCGCCTCACCAGCCATGATGCCGAGATGGACTGAGAAGGAGAGCAAATGACTTGCCAAAATCTTGGGCCAAGGTCCAGCTGCAGTTCAGCTCACGACTCGTCAGAAAGCTGCAAGAACTATCAACATCTTGCGCATGTCCACGGGACAACGACATCATCAGCAAGGTCTGTGCCACTGACAAACCAAGGTAACCAAGGTAAACCAAGGGTGCTGGGACTTTGATCGAGCAAAGTCATGGCACTTTTGCATGAACCCACACACACACATAAATCATCATAAAACAACATCCTATACCAATTTAGATGCAAGCAATGTGCCAGTGACTGCCAGTGTTTGGGTCACTTTTTGGGGGCTAGAACAATATTGTTAAAGCCTGCATTCTGGATGCACGACCCAACACCTGTTTCAGTTCACACACAGGTGGATGCACAAAGAACACTGTCCATCTCTGTTTACTCTTTGCATATTCTTTGCAATCTATCAAGGTTTTGGCTACCCACGAGCACCGGCACGGCACCCGAAGGCTGGTCGCACATTGGCATGCCACACATAGATAGCCCTGGGACTTCGCCGCCAGGGCAATCCATGCAACAGCTGGTTGGAAACCAGGCTTTCTTGGTTCCGTCACCGCTGTGAAAAAGCAACATGGCAAAACTGTTTTGGGTATGTGGGAACACAAAACTGGCGTCATCCCATACAACGCCAGGCCCACTGGGACCTCAGCCCAAATGAATCCAAAATGATAGGCTCACGCTCAGACTGGAGAGTTGGTGTTCTTGATGTCCACCACCTTTCGAGAAAGAGCAGCTGAAACCATCAAATTACTCATTTTGTGTTTGTTGGTAACATGTGCCTTCAAAGTAGATGAGAATCCCAGCAGCTACAGTTGTGTTGGGCAATGGCAGCCATACATGACCAACCATCAAATAATCAAATTTGTGAAAACAAAAACGCAAAAAACAAAAGCAAATGAAAATGCAAAAGCCGCGCAATTTTCTTTGTGTTTGCATTTGTTTTGTTTGCTCTTTTTCCTGGTGCCACTTCTGCATTTATGATCATTTATGATAACTTTTACCCGTCAGCAATATTTGCTGTACGCTCCTAGGAAAAAAGCGAAAAAAAACACAAGCGAAACAAATGCGAAAATAAAGCGAACAACATGCGAAAAAAACAAAGCGAGAAAAGATGAAAAAAAGCGACAAACACACACAGCTACATTTTGTTGCTTTTTTGTTTGCTTTTGCTTTTGCTTTGCTTTATTTATTTTTGGCTCCTTGTATCGGCCGGCGCGCCCGACTCGAAGCTACAGAACATCCTAGCTGCCCAACCAAGAGAGTGGCATTCTCACTTCTCTGAAGAATCCGAATCAATGCACACCAACTCCTCACCTTGTGCTCCATCGCTTTGGCAGCCTTGGGCACCTCTAAAGCCTTGGATTTCACCTGGCTGGCGTCGAAAGAAGCGCAGTGGCAGTTGTTTATCACGCCTACCCCTGAGTCTCTTGTTGTTGGGAAAGCCAACCTGATTGTTTTGCGCCACTTGGAATTAACTGACTGGGCCCAGCATTCCACGATGGGTGAGAATCGAGTTGGGTTTCGCGACGACGCAACTTTACTCTTCTCCCCCGAAAAGAGGTGTTTAAAGGAATCTACTGGGCCACTCAAGGCAACCTTGCGCTGAATGAAGCATGCTTTCTTGATGAAACTAAAGCTGACTGCAGGCAAACTCTCAAGATCCGCCCCTTAGCCAAGTGCAACCCCTCCAAACCCCTCCGCAACAACGGAGCACCCAACCAAACGTGCTGCTGCTCTAGCAGAGTGACCTTTCCAGCGAGGCCATAGATACGCACGAGGATGACCACCAAGCAGGCCAAGAGGAAGGCGCAAAGGTTGAAGACGGAGGAGCCTGAAAACGGCGTTTTCGAAACGCTTCTTGCTATGGTGTTGATGTTTCGGTCGATCTGGTAGCCAAGAAAGAAAACATGGATTGCCGTCGGTCAGGGCATTCTAAACAGATTGTGCAACTGCAACCTTTGTGTAGTATGATCTAGTTGAAGCTGCATGGTTGAGATGCTGAGCCTGCATAGTTGGCTCCGAAACAAAAGACATCAAGTGACAGACCTGTTTCATGGTACATTAGTGGTTGGGGGAAGTTTGCCAACTGGAGGATGCAAGCTGCGTAAGGAACCTCTCCGTGATCGAGTTTTCATGGCTTCATGGTACCTATAGTAGCCTCGTAGCTGCCAAGCGGAAAATTGTACAACTTCTAAGACTGCATTGGCGATCAAATTCATATCTGAACAATCTAAACAATTTATTATGCAATTCTATATTACTACAAGCCAAACCATGGAGTATCCAAAGCTCCCCAACAAAATACTGATACTGGACCCAATTTCAAAGACACTACACCTGTTTGACTACCTTGTCACTGACACTCAGCACTGTAGACCCTTGTGCCCAGACTTCCCTCGGCCTGCCGCGATCTGTCCCAAAAAGATCACGATCACAGCCAAAGCCTGAAGGAGCAGTCACTTGAGGCCAAGGAGCACACTCACATCACTTGGAGTGATGGTTGGTTCTTGGTATTCCCTGTTTTTTGTCCTAGCTTCGGGAATCCCGTGCTTTAGGGAGATATGCTTGTTAGTTCCTTCATATTCATTCCTCAGAGGGAGTTTGCACCCATAAACAAGTGGCCAAACATGGGCAAACTGAAGGAACTGCCCTGGACATGTTCTTTTCTGCACAAAGAAAGTTTGGAGAAACTTGGAGGATCCTGCCTCACCCACATTCTTCTGGATGCCATCTAATGACTTCAGCAAGTAGAGCGTAATCCTAGCACACCCGCAGACATCGTTCGCATGTGTAGAGGCGTGCATGCTGATACCTTTCATCCCTACGAAGCAGCGAACGCCCGACAGAACGAACCCCAAACCGTGGGACTGGAACAGTTACCAATCAGTTCGGTGGTTTCAATGCGGGCATGTGTATGTATATATAAAATAAATACAAGAATCTTCTGTACTGTAGAGTTAACGAAATGAGACACTGATCAATTAGCAAGAGATCGAAAAACAAAAATGAAAGAGGCCAGCACTGTCCGTGAAAACATTCCAAAAACAATATTCTATCAGGACCTAATTGAGACTTTGAAAGGCATGTTGGGGGTGAATTTCCAACAATCCCTCAGTCAGGGTGTCGGATGCTAATCCTGGCAAAACTCATTCAGGTTCTTGCTTTCATAACACCACCGATCAAAACACTTTGACAAAAGCTGAGGATCAAAGACTTTGAGGTGAAGGACAAGGTCACAACCCAGGTGGCCAAAGTCCAGTGATCAAAGAATCCAGCCGCACTCCACTCATAAGATGGCTGCACGCTCGGTTCCATGACGGCTGCAATGCCCACGGAAGCAATCACACGAGAAAGAGACATCAAGGAAAGCTTGGCCGACATGGACATGTTGCTGAA